TCCAAGTGTTCTAACTTGAAAACTCTTAAATACCCCTAGACTTGCGACATTTTCGCTACAACGAGAAATTTTTGCTACAACGAGACTTTCCCTCGCTACAGCAAAAAAATCAGACAAAATTGCACTTTGCTGTGTGTCATTCTAGTTATAGCGAGAGCTCCTCGCTACAATGAGAAGATACTCGCTACAACGAGAGAGTATCAGAATGTCTGATTTTGATACTGAGTTCTCGCTACAGCAAAAAATCCTACAACTCACACATCTAAAACTCTCCTAATTTCAAGCAACATGCATTATCAAATCACATCAAGTATGAAATTAATAATTAATAAAGTAGAGATGTTGCACCATTAATGAATGTTTGATTGATATATACATTGATTGGTCGGGGTTTGTCCACTGTGAAAAAATGTATGAAATTAATAATATTTTGAAAAAATAGATAAAAATAAATAATAATAATAATAATAATAATAATAATAATAATAATAATATGAAAGAAAAAACTATTAATAGTTAAACATATATTTTTAATTAGTTTTATAAATATAATTATATTTTATTTTATTATTCTGTTGATTTTGATTTTTATATATATTCTTTTCAATACAATTTGTTATACATCGTAATGTGATAACATAGTATGAATCTATATAATTATTGGATACAGATTATTATTGCAAGAATTAGATGTTCAATTTTATTTTTGTTTAAATAAAATAAATTTATTTTAATAAAAATATAAAAAATAACAAAAAAAATATATAAGCAAAATTAGCTTAAATAAAATTTAAATTACATTTTTTCTCTAACCTTTTATTTTCCCTCTCTATATTCCTACTTATCTCCAACTCTTTCTTTCTCCTACACTCACCTCCTCTCCTCTCTTTCCCAAAACAAAATTTACATTATTTTTTTAATTTTTTTTTAAAGCGAACCATAATAGGAAATTATCTATATATGAGTATTTCACATTAGTAAGTATTTTTCATGATTCTTGATAATATAATTAAAAAAACTATAAATTTTATAACTAAAATTTTAAAAAATAGAGGATTAAAACCAAATAAACACTAATCAATCAACAAGCTCAAGCTAAAACCATTTTTAATCAAGCATAAGTTGTTAATCTTAATTATCTAGTGCTCAATATATTATCATCCTCAAATATAAGGAAAAGATATCCTATATTTAGCTTTCCACATACGTCCAATTGTCAATTTGGATATACGTATGTAAGCCCACTCTCATAAATGATAATTATGATAAAAATGAAAAACCTAAGTTAAAACAAGTGGGAAATGTGAGAAAACTTCTAATCACACCTAAGTTATATAATATGTCAACTTGAGTAGGCTACGAAGCAAAATATTATATACACATGCGATAGGACAGGTTTTTGCATTGGAGTGAGAGAAGAGCAAGTAATTTAATGAATTTAATCACATACGAAACTAGATAACATAAAAGATTGCATAACAAAACATAATTTAATATGGGTTTAATTTAGTGTAGGTAAGAAAATTTATATAGTTAATCAATTAAAATATATGATAAATATAATTTTTAAATGAACTTTTACAAAATTAATTATTTTTGTTAATATAATAATTCAGAATTAGATACTAATATAAAACAGTTTATACTATCAGTATATTTTAATTAATTTTTTTAATATAATAAAATTATTATTCAAATCTTAATTATTTTTATATTAGATTAATGCATTGTGTCCAATAATATTAAAAAAAAACTCATAACAGTTTCTGACATGCTTTTCTCTTTTATCTAAAAATTAAGATGAATATGACTTTCATATAAATTATTATATACATATTAGTATTATTATTAATTATTAAAATAAAATTTTAAACTTAATTAATAAATAATACCAACAACACTACGCTTAATTAAATTTTGTTTGGACAAAACTTCCACGATATATAAACAATATTATTATTTTTGTTATATATAAACAATATTCTTTACTGTGGCGCGCCGCATATCCCTGGATAAAATGACGTTATTTTATGCGTTAGCGTTATCAAGTATTTTGTGTTTTTTTTTTATTTGTTAAGAAAATGTTAAATTCGTAAAATGTTAGATATAAAAAAGTTATATTTACTTAATAAATAGAAATAGCATATAAACATGCGCAATATTTTGTTATACATAAAATTTTGTTGATATTTTCTTCATTTAATTTATCAAATATTTCTCATTATTAATTGGCGTTTTAAAAAATCAACAAAGTTACTCGTAGCATGTAATAATCCAACATCGATATTCGATCCCATGATGCCAATTGTTTAGAATTAACCCATTTGGACTTATCTAACGGAGAAATAAATAATGCTGAGAGTTTCTTTCTTTCATGCAATGTGTTCTAAGAAGGTCAATTTTAGATAATTTCATACTTAATTATTTATAAAAATAAAAATAAAATAAGTTTTAAAAACCTTTTTTTATTTAACTTTCATATTTTTATCTCTTCTCTTATAAATATTAATTAAGAAGTGTAAAACTACAAGTAAATAATACATTCATAAAATAGAAGAAAAAAAAAGTTGATACGGATTAAGCCATAATTATATGTCTAACCTACGTTATTTTTATATTATAAGTTTTATAAAAATATTATTTATTTTTAGAAGCATGTTAAAAGAATTACATTATTATTATTATTAATTTGCTAAGCATGCATTATCCATGATGAGTATTGAATAGTTAGTCTTGTATTAAAATAAAGATAATACAATATACATATAAATACGTAGATAGTTTGGCATAAGTTGAGAATGTTGTGAAAAAGAGCATTAAATTAGGTACATGAAAGAAATAATATGTCAAGTGGATGTGGGTTGACTTGAGTGGCGGTGGACTTTGCCAAAGGACACATTACAGTAATCCAAGTGGGTTCACCATGACCCACGTCCACCACCCTTGTCCCCTGTTGCGTTGCGTTCACAATCAGAACGCAGTGAATTAATGTGGGCGAAACTTGCCACTCAAGTTGACAAATCCAAGCATCATATGTCAATCTCCTTATACAATTAGGTTAAGATCCACACCATCATCTATTTCTTCACCTACGCCACCCCCTTTATATATCGTATTTTCTTATTATCAAGTTTCTGGTTTTAGCTACTTAATTTTGACGTTGTTACAATAAACTTATATTATCATATTATACATGTTAATTAAAAACCAGAACTATATAGACTTGCAATACTAAGAAGCTATTTTTTCTACTAATCATGGAAAATAACGAGTATAAAAAATATGCCCTCAAGTCACATAATAATATATAAGTACGAGATACACCTCAGTTCAAGAATAATTATAAATTATATTACTTTTTTATTTTTATTAATTTCAATTTTTAAAATTATGTTTAATCGGTTTGTAATAGTATAATTTTATTAAAATTAAAAGCATGTATTATCTTGGAGATGTAAAAGTGTTATAATTTAATATAATTTTATTAATTGTTTAAATTTAATTTTAAAAACTGAATTTGATAATTTTTTCTCTTTTCCTTTTTTTTTTATCACTTTATTCATTACAATTTTTTAATCTTTCTTTGTCTCGACCAATTTAACACCTCATAATGAATGTCAACACATCATTTTCCCTAGTTAAACTTGAGAAGAATCTTCGAGATTTCGATCATGCTAATGAGTTATATCTATATGTCCCAGGTGTTACCACGGGAATCATCACGTGTAGTTTCTTTTTAAAGTTTTGTGAAACAATTAGAGTTTAAAAAAGAAAAGAAAAGAAGAAGAAGAAGAAATTCACATTACGTGCATGGGATGACACAAAATGGTACAACTTAGAGGAGGATCCCACTTTAACCTTTGGAATAAAAATCTTATCCAAAAGGGACTTTACGCATTTGGTTTTTCGGCTTAAGGGGAATGTATTGTAATCTTGAAGTGGACTGTACTCACACGTGAAGGATATATGTGATTGTCACAAATTGTTTTGCATGATTTTACAAAAACACATGTACATTATCTTAATTCAATTAAAAAGAAGTGATTATACAGCCAAGTTTAAAAAACATTTAAATAAAAACATAGGTAAAACTTAAAAAAAATGAAGGTTAAAACAGAGTAAGAGCTAACACAGCGGAATAGAGTATTTGCTAGACAGAGTACAGAGACATACGTGATGTTACGGTGGGTGACGGTGTACATGACGTACATGTACATCATCCCTTTTACGCCGGCTTGCACCTGATGATTGCACCTTTGGAATCAAAAATAAAAAATAGAAATAAAAGGAGATAACAAAATAAACACGAATACCAAATCCAACCTCCTTGTCCCAATCCACACGCTTTGCCCACAACTTGGCATCGCCTTGCAGCTCTAGATAGTAGGAGCCTAGTAAAATCTATGAAGAATTTTTTTTTTCAACTTTGTACCACTACTTAGGAATAATTACAGGTTCACCTTTCTTTTTTAATATAAAGTAAGTGAAAAAAATTAATTACGAGGATTTGTAAAATTGTACTATTAATTGGTCAAGAAAAAAATATAACGTGTATGCTTATTGGGACAGTTTGTAGTTTTTTCTTATTTAGCATATTTTGGAATATTTATATTTATAAAATAAAAATAATTATATACGGGAATAATTTTTAATTATTTAAATAAAAAATGATAGGGTATATCTTTTATAACTTCTGTGAAAAGAAAATGGTGGGAAAAATTGATGGTAAAGGGTTGTCTGGATGGCCATTGGAGCTCTAGCACGTGGACATGTAAAGGTGGCGCACAATGACCAATGTCGATTCTCATCTCTTTCTGGATATATACTTGGCTCTTTACTTTACCAAAAATGTTATTCATACACGATAAAAGATGGATCGAAGCTTAAAATGGAAAAAAATTAAAAAAAAAAGGAGTAGAAGGATAGAGGAAGAATATGATTCTTACTGCTCACCATCGCCTGGGTGGTGTATAGGTAACAACTAAGGAAACCAAAACACTACCTTCACCAAACCAAACCAACTGAAGATACTAACTAGAGGGGCCTAGACTTAAATTAAACACGTTGATTAATTAAAAGTTAAAAACTAAGTGGTTTATTGTATGGAGTAGCACTCACTTGATAATTACTAAAGTTTTCTCTTTCTAACTCAAATCCAACCACTACCTTCTTAGCTGTACTAGTCTTTTGGTCCCTTCACCTCTTTCGTCGTTTCTTCACCTTACATTCATAAGTCATAACCTCTCTCTCTCTCTCTCTCTCTCTGAAACGCTCATACATACTTCTCTTTCTCTCTCTTAATTTTGGGAATTTAGAATGCCGGCTTGGTGGAGTAGAAAGTCCAGCAAGAACAAGCAGGAGCACGAGGAGGAGGAGGAGGAGGTAGAAGAAGAAGAGACACGTGGCGGTCTTCAATTTAATTTCCTGAAATCTCCGGTTACTATTAGGAACGGTGACAAGGATAAGAGTAAGAAGAAGAAGAAGAAACCGAAGAGCTTCGACGAGCTTTTCTCTCGGAATTCGCCAAGGACTAGCAAGGATTTCGATGGCGGCCAGAAGAAAGGGGTTCCCCTGCCTTTACCCACTCACAGTCACAGCGATCAAGCCTTTGCAAATGGATCTGCTTCCGTATCTGGTTCCAGCGTCAGCTCCTCCACCTCCTTCGATGACCATCCAATTTCTCCTCAATTCAATGCCAACAGGTTCGCTTTTTTCGCTTTTAATCATTCCTCGTTTTTTACACACCCAATTATTCCCTTTCTCTTTCATTTTTTTCCTTTAATTATAAAATTAGCCGGTTTTGTAAGGTTTTCGTTTGTGAGCGAATTCTTATGACTGGAAAATAATAATTTATTTTTACTGAGGAGTCTGTTGGAGATTCGGTTTTTCCTTGTGTTAGTTTGCTATTAGAAGTTTAAATTTAAATTAGCTGAGAAATTAAATATGTTGATTTTGGTGGAAAATTTTGTTGATACAGAGAAATTAAATATATGGTTGAAATTAGAATCTGTTATCTTCTTTTAGCGCTGATGGTATTTAATATTGTGTTTCTGAAATTAGAATCTGTAATTTTAAGGAACAGAAAGAACATGGAATGTTCTGTGTGTTTCTCCAATGTACTCTTAAAGTAATCCATGCCGTTTGGTTGTGCAGAGGGCAAGATGAGGTGAAGTTCAGTGTGACTGTGAGGTCAAAGAGTCCAGGTCCTGGATCACGAGGGCCCACCAGCCCTACATCACCGCTTCATCCAAGGTTGCATGTTTTGAGTCTTGATTCTCCTACAGGTAAGCAAGACGATGGAAAGAGTGAATGTCATCCATTGCCTCTTCCACCTGGCTCTCCAACTAGTCCTTCTGCACTTTCCAACACACGACCAAATGGACTGTTAGAAAACACTACCGGCAATCTCTCCAAATGGAAAAAAGGAAAGCTTCTAGGACGGGGAACATTTGGGCATGTGTATCTTGGATTCAATAGGTACCTTAAATTGTTTTTAATTATTGTTTTTCTAATCTAGCGAAGGAAATTTACTATCCATACTCTTGGGTTAACCTGAGACAGCTTTATGGCATGCATAATTTGCACTTCTTGATAATCGGATGCTAGCGTTTGTGGTTGTTGTCATCTTGTGGTTGTAATGCATGACCATAATGATCCAAGTGCAGAGTTAATTTATAACTGTTGATTATAAAATTAATGCCGGGAGATTGTGATAGAATTTGTGCTCATGTATAATAAACTACGAAGTTGTGAAATCTATTCCTTTGATTTTCAAATCAAACAGTTGTAGTTTCACACTTTACCCTCCAAAGTGCATCTCTCACTTCAGAGGAGAAAAATCCTAAGAACTAAATATTACAGTGGCAATTATTATTGGAAATAACAAAAATCTGACATTAAATTAAAGTACAACTATATTTACATAGTTATTTCATCATTCTCTTTTCAGGGTGTTCTCTCTGCCCAATTGTCCATATTTTGGACTAATTACTCAAACCATTTCTGTTTCATTTCCTATGTTTGACAGTGAAAATGGACAAATGTGTGCAATAAAAGAAGTCAGAGTTGTCTCTGATGATCAAACATCAAAAGAGTGCCTCAGACAACTTAACCAGGTAATTCCAATATTTTATCTAAAGATTTAAACATGATGCTCTAACGCTTAATATGGTACTTCTGTGGCTGTTCTTTGGCCTGTTGCATTGGAGTTTTGTTTAATGTGTCTTACCATTTTATAGTCCACAAGGTTATAACACATTCTGTATTGATTACAGGAGATAAATTTGCTAAATCAGCTTTCACACCCAAATATTGTTCAATACTATGGGAGTGAACCGGTATGTTATAATATTCCAAGTTTAAAATTGTTTAATGCATGTATATAACTAATATATATACACATACACAAAATAGAAATTGAAGAATTGCCATGTTTTCAGGTTGAAGAATCTCTTTATGTATATTTGGAATATGTCTCTGGTGGTTCTATCCATAAATTACTTCAGGAGTATGGTGCGTTTAAGGAGCCTGTTATTCAAAATTATACCAGGCAGATTGTATCTGGACTTGCCTATCTGCATGGAAGAAATACAGTACACAGGTAATTTGATTATTCCTTCTCAATTTATAACATGGCATTTGATCTTCTTTATTCTCTTTCATATTATTATTATATTTTCTCTTGGCAGGGATATTAAAGGGGCGAACATACTAGTTGATCCTAATGGTGAAATCAAACTGGCAGACTTTGGAATGGCTAAACATGTACGTTCAGCTTATCCTGTAAACAACAAATTGCTTCTAGCTCACTTATTAAGTAAAGTACACTTGTTGTTTATGGTTAGAAAAATCACTGACAACACACACGATGTAAAATTAAATGAGATTTGTTACTTAAAAAAGAATTCTCTTGCTTAAGTTTAGAAGTTGTGATTTTACTGTTTCCTAGTAGCAGAGATTTCTCCTCCTCTCTCTTGGATGCGCATGCTCCCTCTCACATTTCTGCACTCCCAGTCTCTCACAAGGAGCTGGAGAGCTGACACAGCTCACATACAATTCTCACACATGCAGGATGCTTTCCACTCCCTTAAACACAATCTCTCTGTCTCTCCTCAGTGTGTTTTATATTCTAACATTAGATTTTACTGGTATGAAGAAATTGTAATCAAGAGAGCTAAAAAAAATGATTTTATATTTTGATTGATTTCTGATTTATGATCGATATTTGGTTCTGAACCAGATAAATTCTTCTGCCTCAATGCTTTCATTCAAAGGAAGTCCATACTGGATGGCACCTGAGGTAAATTGTTTTCCTATTCTCCAATTTTTAAATTTCTTTTAAGCTCAGCACATTCTTCATTCCTCTCTCGCTTTTTTCTCACCATAATTACTTTATAATGATATTCTCTTTCTTAGGTTGTAATGAATTCAAATGGCTATAGTCTTCCAGTTGATATATGGAGCTTGGGATGCACAATTATTGAAATGGCAACATCAAAACCTCCGTGGAATCAGTATGAAGGGGTGAGATGTAGAATATTTTGGAACTAGCTTTTACTTCTATGATCCTGTTTGATGCCTACTAAAGTAATGACCATAATTGTTTTTATGTTGGTTTGACCAGGTAGCTGCCATATTTAAAATTGGGAACAGCAAAGATATGCCTGAAATCCCTGAGCATCTTTCGAATGATGCAAAGAATTTCATCAAGCTATGCTTACAAAGGGACCCATCAGCACGCCCTACAGCCCAAAAGTTACTAGACCACCCCTTCATTCGAGATCAATCAGCAACAAAAGCTGCAAATGTTAGCATAACCAGAGATGCTTTCCCTTACATGTTTGATGGAAGTCGAACCCCGGTATATATTCTTTGATGTTTATTTAATTTTCTTTGAAAAATCATGTTACTTCTTACATTCTAGTTCCATTCTCAAAATGAACATGCTGCAACTGTCTTGAAGTTTGAATGACTCAAGATGTTATAGAGTGCTTGATAATATATGAAGATGATGAACGATTACTAGATATCAACAGACTCTGTTATTATCTATTATGTCAAGTCACTAGGGTTTAATGTCAGGATAGTTGCGGCTTGTTTAGGTGTTTTTAGTCATGAATGTAGATGCACGATGTAGTCCATCTCATGTATATTGTTATTAAACTCCAAAGTAACTGAATGTAAATATGATGTATTATATATGAAGTAGTATACAAGAAGCATTAGCAGGAATTAAGTGTGATTTATTGTTTGGTTGTAACGAGAAAAAAATTTGTATGTATTTTGTTGTTGTTGAGTAAGGATTTTTCTTTTATTATTACTTACGATATTGAAGGTTTATTTTGTTGTTTTCTGTCATGTCAGTTTGGTCAAATTCTTGTAAAACTTTTAAGCATGAAACTAGATATACACCAAGTCCCTTTGGAACTACTTGATCCTGGAATCACATCCCGATCAGGACCCTTTACTTGTATGTTAGCCTAACTGCCTTCCTATAACAGGTCTTAGGTTAGACCGCTTTTGTAACGCACGTATTTTCCTTGCACTGAATGATTTGATTTCAAAGTTAAACTCTGAATAGCTGTCTCTATTGCTAATGTTGGCCTGGAGTTCACTTTTTCATCATTTGTATCTGTTTGCAGCCTGTGTTAGAGTCTTACTCCAATCGAACAAGTATAACTTCACTTGATGGAGATTATGCATCAAAGTCTGCTCTTGCAGCTCCACGTGCATTAAGGAGTCCAAGGTAAAACATTAACCTGCTGTTAATTATATTTAAGGAACCAATTTGCATCTCGATATATATTCATCATTTTTATGTCTGACATTCTTTTGTAATTTTCCCTTGTTCAGAGATAACACAAGAATGATCACATCTTTACCAGTATCTCCCTCTTCAAGTCCACTAAGACAGTTCGGGCCAGCACATAAGAGCTGTTTCTTTTCTCCTCCACATCCAGCTTACACAATAATTGGACAAAATAGTTACACTTTGAATGACATGTCCTCGTATCCAGTGAGATCAAATGCCACGTTCGCTCTTGATCCTTGGCACGAAACATCGCGATACAAAGCTCATACACCACCTGGTGGATCTCCAAGAATGAGACTCATCTGAGTTGCCATTGTAAATACCTATAGAACTAAAATATTTCTACGTCTCCCCCGGGATTCCGTATGGTCTGTGGTTGAACTTCAATCTGGACTCCGCGAAGCACAAACTATCCAAAGATTCTGGTCCCTTCTTAATGCATGGGAACCAGATGACAGAAGAAATGAGGAGCCCTATGCTCTCAATGCATTGGATTGGGGAGACCATGCTGCATGTAACAATTTCTTGATTATTGTAAATGCAATGTGCTTACTGTGTTTGTTGTAACGTTTATGTTGTATATTGCTAGTTCATGACAGAATAAAAATAATAAAAAAAGTAATTCTCATACCCCACTCATCTCAGTTAGGATTAGAAAATTTATTTGAGATTAGATACGTACTGAAGCGGGCTCGCAATGGCAGAAAAAATTGTCACTAACCTTTTTGAAGTTGATTTTGTTTCATGTAACTATTGTTCCCTAATGTCATTATGATCGGTTTAATATGAAAAATCTCATGGAAATGGAAAAGGTGATCGTGCATCTTAGGTCATATCCCTCCTATCTTTTGTCATCATCGTTGTCATTGAGTCAAGCGTCAGGCATGGATCTTTTTTTGGTCTTGTTATGTTTAAGATTTTTAAATTTTATTTTATTTTAAGCTGTTAGTGTAATTACTGTTATTCAAAGGGCTAAGGTGGTGGTAGTATAGGATATTTTAGGATGCTTATGACCTTTCCATCAGTTCAATGCGATTTACGATGTGATTATCCACTTACCCCTTTCCATATGTGAGAGACGATGGAGGGTTTCGATTAAACTTTCATAATTAAGGATATTTTAGAAAAATGAATATTATTTCAGATCTTGTTAATAAACACACTAATGGTGCTTGTTGAAACATAAATAAATAAAAATATTAATAAATACAATAAAATAATTTTAATTATATATTTTTTAAAAATTAACATTTAAATTTTTAATGAATATTGTAAAGATACTTGTTAATATTATCTTATTATTATTACATATGTTTTTGCATGTATGTCTGCATACTTTTTATTAATCGATTATAGTTAAATCTCCTTTTTTAAACCACTTGCAACTATTAAAATATATTTATTAAATAATATTTTAAAGATTTAAATTTTGACCTAAAATCATATATATATATAAAATCTCACCTAATAGAATAAGATATAATCTATGTTCCTGCTGTGCGTGTTTCTTGTTACAATGAACAGTAAATAAAAGCGAAAATAGGATTTTGAAAGAAACAAAACATATAAAGTGACAAGCGTTACTTTTCATTTTTGTTTTTATTTATTTATTTTATTAATTTCTTCAATTAAAAATCTAAGATCATTTTAATAGTTTAATTTTGATTTATTGTGAGTTTAAATATTTTTATTTTATCAACTAATTAAAATACACAATAAATATAACTTTTAAGTTAATTATTATAAAAATTTAAAAAAATTATTTTTATGACAATTAATTTATGATTAAATGATAGTTATTTATTCTGTCAAAGCATTTCAATTAAATTCTAACTTCTGTCATTAGTTTTTATTATGCCTTCATCTATACCAAGTTCTTAAATACTCGACAGATTAGAAAGAAATATAAAAAATTTATATTAAATTTTAAAAATAATCTGAATATAAATAAAATATTGCTTTATTTTTTAATTTGCTTAATATTTCAAAAACGAGAGATGAAAAAACCAAATTAAAAGATACAACAATTAAAATAAAACTAAGAATTTTTTTTAACTGTCATTTATTAATTATGCAATTATTGATGTCTCGTTGTCTTTGCAATATTTTTGGGGGGAGGTTCTTAATAAACTAGTCATTTTAATTTCAGTGACGCTTGTCCGTTAAGCAATTGCACGATAGATAGTGGTTTTCTGAAACAAAAAGAGATCCTCGGAAAAGGAAACTACATCGGCCCCGCGCTAAGTTACCACTTTCTTACTTACAACACTTTTAAGCTCTCTTCATCCCTTTGAATTTCATTCATTTGGTACTACACAACACAAATCTCTCTTTATTTACTATATGTTTTTATTTTTTTATTCTGAGTGAAATGAAATCAATGTGTTTTATTAATTAAATTATTATTATTTTGTGGGTGATTCAGTTGAGTGCGATCGATGGAATCGAGTTCGGGGCAGCAAGAATTCGATTATTTGTTCAAGTTGTTGATGATTGGAGACTCTGGGGTTGGCAAAAGTAGTCTTCTTCTCAGTTTCACCTCCGATGCTTTTGAAGATCTCTCTCCCACTATTGGTCCTTTTCTCAGTCACCATTTATTTCTCTTTTGATTTGTGTATCAATTCCAAAAGCCATTTGTTATGCATCTTCGTGTCTTATCTGCAGGTGTTGATTTTAAGGTCAAATATGTGATGATGGGGGGTAAAAAGCTTAAGCTTGCCATTTGGGATACTGGTATTCACTTGTATTTGACAATTAATTATTGTTCACTTTGTTGTTATTCCTTTCTTGAAATCACTGTAGTTATATCATGGAGGCCTTTTACATTGATAGAGTTTTTGTGGTCAAATACCAAATTTGATTGATTCAACTTATTTTCAATAATGCAGCTGGTCAGGAGAGATTTAGAACACTGACAAGTTCTTATTACCGAGGGGCACAAGGAATCATCATGGGCAAGTTTCTGTTCTCCATTTTTGGATTAGCTGAATGCCTTGAGTGACAACTTAGACTAGAATGTATTCAATGAATAGAATATTATTCAGTGTTCACATATTCTTGTTAAGCTTGTACTACTTGCCGTGAGTTCCTGTAAATTGAAGAACTTCCCGCTAGTTACAGTGAAAGGAATTTGAAATAGTATACTATATATTTATGCATCACCCTATTCTCCTTTGATATCTTGCTGGCATTGAAAATAAATTTTGAAATTAATGCTCATTTAAGTACAGATGTAAGCCGTCTGCTTTTCTTTTGAAAGTAAACCTATGACCTTACTCTTGGGTAATCTAGTATGATTTGTTATTTGCTTTGATGTAGTCAGTTCCTTGTTGGGAGGAGTTAAAGCCAAATCTTTTCCATGCTAGGTTATGGAACTGCATGCTTATTTCATCCATTATTAAAGCTTTTTCATTGCCTCGCATAATCAAAATATGTGATTACTTGTGTTTTAACTTGCAACTTTACCTCTTTTGGACTATTTCTGACCTCTGCTGGGAAAGTCTGGTGATGTGATGATCCTGATTCTTAGCATACCATATCTATATCTATTCTAATCAAATCCAGTATTTATTGATTTATTGTGAGTTGAATATCATTCACGTTGCTTGGGATAATTTTGAACTGAACACTGGTATGAATATTAGTGAGTAAATCCTGGAATCATTTGGTTTGTGAGTGAACTGCTCTGTCATCTAATTTATCTCTGGTAATTCAATGATCAAACTGCAGTTTTCTTTCTATTATTGATCATATTTAGCATGAAATGGCTGCAATATCTGTATTAGATGCTGTATGTGTAATGGTCTTTGGAAATCAGGAGATGCCCCTTCATCCAAGTTGATGTAGTTTTGAAATTTGACTTATGGATTAGCTACTAATTTTGTTCCTTTAACTGATGCAGTTTATGATGTAACTCGGCGAGAAACATTTACAAATCTTTCTGAAATATGGGCAAAGGAAATTGACCTTTATTCGACAAATCAAGATTGCATCAAGATGCTTGTTGGAAACAAAGTAGATAAGGTATCTTTATTTAAGTACACAATCATTGCTCCCTATATCTTAATTGTCTCTTATATTCACCTTCCCAGTGGGAGGCTTGATTGTTGTTGTATTCACCTTCCCATATATTTCAATCATGTCAATTATGGTTTTACATAAACTGATGCATGTATTTTTGGCTGGCCAAAATTGACAATCTCTGTCGACCTTTTATTGTGGAGGATTTCCATGCTTGTTCAGAGTTGATGTTATTACAGTAAAAGTTTTCTTTCTTCTGGAGACCTTGGATTCCAAGTCATTGCAAATATTTATGAAATTTTTGCGTGGAGAAAATACTATCAAATATCTTTGAACCAATATTTGTCTTTGCACACTATAGAATATCTTTTTAAAATATATATTTTTTTTTTCCATTTGACTTTCCTGCAAGGGTGGGGGGTGAAATCTCCTTTGCTACCATGTTCTGTTTATGGGAGTCATGGTGGTTTTTTGATGGATTGTTACTAGCCAAGTTTTAATCAAAAGTTTCCTCCCTTCTATCTGTTATGAAACACATTTTTATTTTGTTATTTTTCTGGCTCTTATTAGGGTGTCAGCACGTTGTGGTAGAGAAGTTTCTATTGCAGATGTTCAAAGGGATTTTAGAGCTCTTTTGATCTAAAGCACTTGTCTATTGTTTCATTTTTGTGTTTTTGCTTCTTGTTTTCCTAGCAGGATTGCTTATCTTCCTTGAAGTAGTGATTAATTTATATTTGCTTATCCACCCCAAAATTAGATATCATTAGAGGAAAGTATATTGAATCTAACAAAAGGGAAGATAAGGGGGCAGGCTTAATTGCATGCTTTAGATAGTATTTACAGAAATACAGATACTGAACTGCATGGACTCCACTTTCACCACTCACCTTTACAATTCTAGCTTCAACTTTTGCATGTGTCTAGTCAGCTACATGGCCCATTTGTTTCTTTTCTGACTTCAGCATCGTATCATATCTTATTACTGAGTTTCTTTTCTTGCATTCCTTTAGAGGGCTGGGCTTGCATGATGGTGATAATTTGTTTTTCAGGAGGGTGATAGAGTTGTGACAAAGAAAGAGGGAATAAACTTTGCCAGGGAATATGGTTGCCTATTTATTGAATGCAGTGCTAAAACTCGTGTTAATGTACAGCAATGCTTTGAAGAGCTTGTTTTGAAGGTATGTTTAGTGACACCTATGCCCATGTCCAAACATTTGGTCAATAATTGGTGTGTTGCATATATGCATGTAAAATTGTTACTATCATATTGAAATTGAGAAAGCTATGGTAAATCTTTTTCTGTACTCTCTCTCTGTATGGGTGGTTTGAAACACAGAAGTGCTTAATTTAGTAAAATACTCTCTTCAGCCTCGCGATATGAGTATTTTTCACACCTGCTCAATGGCTAACATAAAATATATTAATAGACACAAGTTGAGACCTAAAGGAAATTTGGTTTAGGGGGCACATTGAAATGGATTTCATCTTTTGAATTGTGATGAACAAACAGCTGATGATGCTCATGGTATTGCTTTGTGCTTTTTTCTTTTTCTTTTTTTCTTTTGGGGTGCAGATTCTGGATACACCTAGTCTCTTAGCTGAGGGCTCTAAGGGAGTAAAAAAGAATATTTTTAAGGAAAAGCCACCCCAGTCTGATGCATCCACAAGTAGTTGTTGCTGATTTGAAGAAGCCATTTCACTCAAAAACGTGCATGTTAAGAATTAAGATCTCCAAGAGAAGGGCGCTACATCCATTTGCAGAATCTTAACAATTTGCTGGTTGTTTAGCATCAGAGGAAGCCAATTTTTTTTAAAAAAATTTCATGTTCTTGTTTTGTCCTGAATATTAGATGCAACATAATGATGATGGTTGTCGGCAGTTTTCTTTTCAGTTTTTCGTCTTTGGATTTCTTGTTTGTCTGGGTCACATTTCATTTCATGGTGAAATCTGAATTATAATGCACAATCCCTCGTCTTGTAAATTTAAAAGTATCAAGTAGTGTGAAATCTAAACTACCGTGTTATTCATTCTCGTTTGTTCTCTGTTTAGCCGCTGAAAAAAACACACATATATATAATGTATGTTTGAATGTAATCATATTTTTAATATTTCATATTTAAATGTTTTCAAACAAACTATAGTTAATATTATTAAAAATTTTATCAGCATTTTCAATGCTACTCTTTTTTATTTTATCAAACATTTGATCACTTGTGTTATTCACGCAATTTTCAAACTTGAAGATAATCACAGGATTTGTAATTATTTATTTCAAAATTAATTAATAAATAATGATATTATTATTTTTTGTTTAATCGTGAAAATTGCAGAATTTGCTAACCTATGCTAAATATCATGATTAAAAGGTTGATTTAATATTTTAAGAATATGTATTTTTCAATTACATCATCTATTAAAAGCTTCGTAATTTTATTGCTTTACATAACTTAGCATATGAGGATCTCGCATCTATTATTAACACACAATTATCTTTTTAATTTTTAATTTAATACTAATAGTAAATTAATGAATTTAGATATTTGTATGTGCCCAAAAAAATATATTTAGAAACCCTGTCCAGAAAGTAGTGACTGAAAATTATCTAAAATACCACTAACCTTGGAAAATGCAAAATGCAATTGTTTGTTAACCATTGAATATTTGATAAGGAGGTACAAAATATCTCATCTGACAAATCCCTTGAAAAAAAAAAAACGTGAGAGAGTTGTTTGAGGTGTTCAATAGTTAGTTCAGTTATGGTTGGAGAGATTCGTTGCCAACACAGAAGAAGCTGAGGTTTTGGTTCCAAACTCAATTATGGTGTATTCATGCAGATCACCACCCATTTCCCATCCTCCTCCGCCGAAGCCCAAAACTGAAATTCAGAATTCTCAGAGCAAAGCATCACCACCCATTCTTAGAGTCCAACTTTCAAACAGACGCTTATTCCTCTTCTCTCTGCCCCTCTCTAGTTTCCTTCTCCTTCCTGTTCCTAGCTTTGGTGATGGTAACAAATTTCAAGATGGGGCATCTTCATATGCTGCCACAATGTATGACCCAGTAAGTTCTTCTGAAAGAGAAGCAAGTGCTTTAGTTTCACTGAGAGTGTCTCAAGCAGTAGAATTGTTGGAGAAAGGGAGAGAATTGCAGGCTCAGGGTGACTTTAATGGTGCTCTTCGCTACTATTCTCAGGTTAAGTAGGTCATTTCATTTAGGTTGTTACTTTTTTTGCCTAGGAGCAGCGCAGACATGTTAGGTTTTTCATGTAACTTCTTGCTAAATAAAATTAGGTAATAGATTATTATTGGATTGCTGATGAGTCATGTTCATGTCCATAATTATTTTTAACTTGTTTTTAGAAAATTGTGATATTTCCCCTGAAAGTGTGTCCAATTTTAGATTGAGTTGTATCTGTCTTATTATATCAAAACTTTTATTGAGAAATAAATTATATCAATAAAAGATCAATGTTGTGAGAGATCCAGCTTTTTAAAATAGAATCGACGAAAAAAGATTGATATTTGCTACTCGGTAAAGTTTTGCAGCTAGCAATACTAGAACCAACAACTAAACTAATTTTGAAAATAAAATTACCCTCTTATTCAACTCTGCTGATTGCTTATCTATGTATGATTATGTTGTTCAGTTAGCAGTGGTATTGTTCATGGCATGATTCACGTCGTCTCAGTTGCAACATTGCTTACATGAAATGCAAATCTGTCACTTTCTTACATTCTTTTAATGACAAGTTTATTTTTGTAAATTTTAAGAGAGAAAAATGGTAGATGGGATTGATCATTAGTCACACACACTCACTGATTATTTGTAGGTTCATTTTGGAAACTGATTTTTCCATATTTATATATATGGAGATATAGGGAAGTAAAAGATTGGTCATAACTTAATAGCCATCGCAGTTATATTCAAATATTTGATCTGACACTGTAGGGAAATGGTATTCAGTAGCTTTGAAAATTATGAACTGTTACCTGCCAAAAATTATGCAGAGGGCCATCTTTGTAAATCTTGCATTTGAATGGCTTAAGTTTAGGTATCATGGGGTTTCACTATACTCTTGAAAGATTCAAATTTTAATATTGGAACACAAAAAAGACAGGATATGGAATTGGAAGCTGGGCAAAAACACCATACAATCTCAATATTTTGAAGTACTTATAATAAATTGAGTATCTTGCAAAATCCACGCCAAGAACCGGGAAGTTACAGGAGTTTAGTTTGAAACAAATGTAATATTGTTATGTTAATATGAGGTTTACTAATTGCTATACCTTCTTCCATCGCCTACTAAACTTAGTAAAAATGAGATTTAACAAGCTTGAATGAGGGAAGGACCCCAATCAAGTTCATAGAAGCTTGGTCAAGGACCTTTATGACACTCCCAGATTGCTAAGCTTCTGCGCTAGGGGGGATTGCATATCCTCAAAGTCTTAATTTGGTCAACAACTTGAGCTCAGCCCAGTAACCTAAATTTAGGCAACAATGGACATCCTAAAGGAACATTCCATCCTGAACCTTAGCAGAAATTCCGGACCATGTACATTGCAACCAGGAACATCAAATAGACAAACACCTCCTATTAAGCATCCAATGAGCTTTGATTGCATAGCCCATTAACATTGGACCTTATTCCTTAATATTCCAAAAGCAAGAGCAGGACATAGAAATTCACAACTCATTGACTAGTTTAGGTTAAACGTCTTCCTTGTCTTAATCAATTAGGATTTTGCATCAACAGTTGCTTCTTCTTTGGAATCATAAGAGATAACATAAATACATATTCTAAGTGATTTTAGTTGCCCCAAGGTTTTTGAAGTCATTATAGGAGTTCAGTTTCAACTTTCAACTAATCAACCTAGCAACTTCCTACCGCTAATTTATATTTATTGGTTCAACAACCTAAACTATTTCATGGCATCACATGTCAAATTCTAAGCGTCGAGTTTATTCTCTTATTCCATGGTTTAATCATCTGACTGATGCTGTAACCAGGTATGCCTACCCTTTTTTCAGGTTGTTGAAAGCTACAAAGACTTGGCATGCTCAGAATATGCTAGGGTAGGAAGAGCATTGGCCCTCTATGAAGTTGGTGACAGAGAAGAAGCAATTACAGAGATGGAAGATGTTTCAATATCCCTAAAAGGGTATCCAGGTATATACGTAGGATTTTTTCATTTCATGGTCATGCTGCCAAAGGAAAATTCTCACTTTATTTGATAATCTAATACTACATTTTCCCCCAAGCAGAAGTGCATGCAGCTCTTGCAGCAGCCTTGTATGCAGATAAGCATGCTCCATTGCTTGCTGAAAACCAGTTTACCATTGCAACTCTGCTTGATCCCCATTTTACAGACCTTTCATATGTTAGAGACACAAAACACTGGCCTCCAAGTTTGATTAGTTCTCTGCAGCACTTCATCACGTTATCTTAAGACCTCTAAGGATATTTGTACGTGTTGTTCAATTAACCCATACAAAGCAGTGCCAGCCATATGAAGACTTTGAAACTTCACAACTTCAAATATTTACCCTTGTTTATTTATTTAATTTTTTCTATTTTAACTCTTGGTTCTGAAATCATGAAATGTAAACCAATAGTAATCTTTTTATGATACACAGAAAGGTATTTCCCAAAACTTATGACAAATTTTATAATTCAGAAACTGGATTGTTCAATGCTAATATTAAATTGTTGTAATATTGGAATAAGGCCTGAATAGAAGTTATCATCTCTTTTACAGTAGTTGGGTGATTTTGTCCGCATGAAATTATTTATGCTATAATCTAACAATAAGTACGAGACATCATTTAAACTGTTAGATTTCTTAGATAATGATTAAGAATCTGAGATTACTAAATTTCTTTAATATTCTGAAAATACGTCAATATAAATTGTAAGGTTTGATTCTAATACTAAATCAAAATTAGATCCAATATATCAACGTTAACTCTGCAAATTTGGGACAATTGAATAAAAGCAAAAGGCAGAGAAGCAGCCCTATAATTTTGATGCTGATGCTGATGCTGTACTTGAAAATGATGTAATAAATTATTCATTGAAACTAACGGTTGATTGTTTAGTTAGTCTTTCTCTCAAGTGGTTGGGTATGCACATATTGGGACATAGGAGAAAGAATTATTCAAGTAAGAATAGTAGCTTGAGAGACTGCAAAAAAGAAATTTGAATATGGTGTAAATAATTAAAAAAAGGAAAATAAAATTAATAAGTATTTTAAAAGATAATAATAAATATGACTGATAATACCTGAAGAATCTAAAGAATATTTTTAGATAATTAAAAATTGTATTAATTATTATCAAACAATAAAATTGAAATTTACATGACAAAAAAATTAAAATACATTTAATTGAAAAACTTCTGTTGCATAATATAAACTGTATTATATATACTCAGAGCTTTTATAAATAAACATATGATAAAGGTGTCGTTGCCATATATAAGAGGATATTTTGACACGTAAAAAACGGTGTATTAAATTTAGCTTTGATAGTTTGTTTAAATAATTGTACCTAACAATTGATGGCTAGGTAAGATTGTTCGAATTATTATATAATTTTGAGTAAATTATAGTTAGTTTAATTCAACTTTTTTTTATATTTAAACTCGATATTTAATTAAATTTGTACCGTATAATTTTTTAATCTAATTAAAAAATAAACTAAAGATTCACCAGATGAGCTTACGAAAAATTTATAAAAATTATTATAATTTTGTAGTATATTTTATTAATTTTTTAGCATAATATATTAAAAAGTTTTTAAATTTTTAAATAAATTTTGTGATTAAACTTATAATATGAATTATCATTTAAAAAATTATTAAGTAAAAATTTAATTATCTATAAATTAAAATAGATAACATATAAAAGACAAATATTGCGCTTTTATGCTTATAGAATTGGTGCGGTAGGGATTTGCATGACGGCGAAGCCACACAAATTAGAGAGTTTGGCAGATATCACTTTGGCAGCTCAAATTGGTAATCTATTTGCATTCTCAATTGTGTTTTTTTCGAAAGAGATGCGTATCATACCGTAACACAATTTCTTATATGATGACACCATTATTAGCAACAAGAAAAGTGTTAGCAAGAAAGATTTGAATCCAGTTATCATGAAAATTGGATTTAGTGCAGTTAACGTGAAAATTAAATGTCTAATTTTATTTTTGTTTAAGCAAAAATATAAAACATGATAAAAAAATTTTATACAAAATTAGTTTAATTATTTTTTTTAATTTAAGCGAATTATGTTAGCTTAAATAAATTTTGTGTATTTGAAGATATAAAAGCTAGATATGAAAGGTAAAGAGAATTGAGAATAGATAGAAATAAAGAGATGAGTAGTATAAGGGTAATAGTGGAGTGAGAGGAGGATAGAGAGTTTGGAATGGAGCAAAGAGAAAGATATAAGTATAAAGTAGGGTAGAAGAAGAAGAGAAAAGTTAGCATGTGGTGAAGGGAAGATGGAGTTGGAAGAGAAACAAAGGACTTAAGTATGAAAAAAGGAAGAAGGTTAAATACAAAGGTTGAAGAGAAAGTGTTATGTATAATAATAAGAAGAGAAAATTGAAATAAAAAAACTAACATAATTCATTTAAATGAATTTGTAAAATTCACTTAAGCTAAAAAAAATTCACTTCAGTTAATTTTGTATAATTTTTTTTTGTCATTTTTTATATTTTTGCTTAAGTGGGTCAATTTTCGCTTAAGAGAAAATGAAACTAAATGTCCAATTCCTACGTTAATTGCACTGAATTCGTATCCTAGTAAGACACTATTTTAAATACATTTTTATGATTAGTTTATTTTTTAGAAAATTAAAATTTCATAATTTGTTTTCTAAAGTTATTTTCACTTATAAAAAATATGTTTAAATAAATGAGTATATTGGTAATGTTTCAATACAAACAAAAGATTGTTGAATATTTGAGTTTGATAGATTTGACTAAGACTGGCATGTGAACGTTGTAATTGGATTGTCTTTGTATATGTTATGCTTCCGTGTGCAGGAACCTCTCCTTTGGGTCTAATACTTGAAGAATCATCAGATATTTTCATTTTAAATATTTATAAATATATCTTTCTTTTCTTACTGTATATACTCTTAATTCTTACAATTAATAAATCTATAATTCGATAAAAGATTACGTAATATGAAATTAAAATTTATAATAATCAATTATTTTACATTAGATTTATCGATAAGGAACTCATCAATCTACTTGAATGCTAAGATTTTCCTGTAATATAACATCAATCTACTTTTTTGTCAAGAAAAAAACATCATTCTTTAAAATACGCAAGAGAATGTATAACAAAACATTTTTAGGTACATTTTATTGTGAAATTAACTCTCTCTATTTATTATATTTACTACATTTATCTTTAATGTTAATAATTATGTACTGTCAAAGTCTAACATGCTTGATAGATACTTATGTTATTTAAATATGTAAATTATAATTTATTTTTTTAATAAGCAATCCGAATTTTTACTTCATTTTTTTACTATCAAGTAAGAAATATCCTTGGTATGAATAAAAAACTTGAATGATTTTAAATATTATGTCCATTATTATATAAAATAAAATATTTATCCCTGCAATGTACACTAGTTTAAGTTTTGTTATATCTTTTTATATTTTTTATTATTTTATAAAAATATGTGTTAAATAAAAATATGTATTTATTATATATATATATATATATATATATATATAAGAACATATTTTTTCGTGCTAATATAAGTCTAAATATTTTTATACTTAATTTGAGTCTTTTATTTAACTTACATTTAATTAATTATAATTTATTATTTTATTTATTATTAAATATAAATTAAATAAAAAACTCAGATGAAATGTAAAAATATTTAAAATTAGATTAGTGTAAGAAAATTCTTTTCCAAATTCAATATTTGGAAGAGTGAGGGCCATCACCGCTCAGCAGCCTTTGTCTTACCTGCCAGTTTGAAGAAAAAATTCCATGTTGAGTTAAATCACTATTTGGGATGGTTGAAGCCTTCAAGGAACTCAAATTTCAGTGAAGAAAAACAAATATCAACAAAGGAAAGGTATAGAAATGGAGAGGAATTTGTCCTTATTTTCTATATTATGAAATCATTGCCTTCATGAACATAAATTTAGCACAAAAATTATAATTACTAATATTAAATACATAATATTAAGTATCCTATTTGTTCCTCAGATAATTGAAGTGCCTTCAATTGAGGGCATGGAAATGGATGCATAAAATGATAAAAGGATAAAGGTATATATGCTGGTTATCAAATTTCAGCCACTCATACGCGAAAGATATCCTACATACACGTCTGCCCTCAATAAGCTTCTCTGATTAGCTTTAAGTAAACGTGCGTTTAGACGATTTTGACTCAAAACCAAATGCACTATCAATTGTCAAAGAAATGGAAAGGCTGCAAGAAAAATCCAAGGGGTCTCTCTTGTTAAACCATTCAGATTATCACTATAATGTTATTTGTAGCCAAGAAAGTGACTTCGTTATTTGTTAAAAGCAATTTTTTATCTGATACTGGTGTCATCTTTCTATACTGTTATTAATTAGTATTTGATAACACTGATTAAGGAATTAATAATTTTTTATTATTAATTATCATAGATATACGTTAATGATACTTTTAAATAATTTTTTATTATTAATTCCTTTACATTTTTCTTTCTTTTCCATGTTATGTACTATAATTATTTTGCATTTTCCCACACACACATATCTTTTTCGCAACAATATTTTAATTTGATAGTGAAATTATTGAATGAATGGTTTAAGTGCGAAATATTTTATTTAATTTTTAATAAAATCCTAAAGTCACATTATGTATGGAAAAACAAAATAAAAAAAAAAAAACTAGCTTCACTGTATTGTGAATGTTCTTAATTTAAATATGATTATCCTTAATGGAAGATACATGTCATTTAAGAAAGAATCATATTTATTTATTTTTTCTATGGAATTGGATAAAAAACTGGTTGAGTAATTATAAAATAAAAAACATTTAATTAATTTAAAATTTAAAGAATTAATTTGATTTAATTCTTTTTCGTTTTAACTTCTTAATCAGTGTTAAGAGTTTCCTTGGTATTTGTCTTAAATTTTGCTTGTGCATGCTTGAGTGGGCGACAATGAGGTCAAAACTGAATTTAGAACTCCTAATGATATTCAAAGATTACAGCTATAAGGAAACAAATATGGCAGTGGCATAGCAACAATGAGACCCCACAAAGTCATTAAACACTTTTTAGTCTTTATAATTATCATTATTATTATTTTGTTACAACCACTTGTATTATGAATATAATTATTCAGGGTCTAACTCTGCTTTGGGTCCTCAGTCCACTTGGATCTTAGCAGTTTGAGCAGCATTCTTGCCTTTGATTTTGTTGTGTTATTACACTGACTCTGCAAAAGCAATAGCAACTGAGTCAAAATTCCAGCCCCAATGGCTTCCTCTCTTGCACGCCCAAGATCACCACAAACAGTTAAAAGTACCTCAACAGCACTCTCACTACACTCTTGATCAGATACCCTGAAAACCATATTCACCAAAGTTTCAATACCTTTTGGATGATTCACCAATGCTTCTCTAGCACTTTCCAACTCCACAAGTTTCTCTACTATTCTCATACCAAGTGGTGCTAAGTTTCTTCTTTCACAACACGATGAAATGTATTTTATGATCCCGTTTATTGCTCCTCCTCTCACTAGACTCTCTCTGTTAGACTGCAATGAACATAGCGCTGATATGCCCTTAATTGCATCCTCAGAAATCTCGCAATTTTGGCTAACAATTTGAACAATCTCATGCACTATTTCGTGAGAGTTTCCAAGAATAGAACATAGTTCTTCTGTTTGAGATGATGATGATGCTGATTCTATAAAATGGCACAAACTAGTCTTAACCGAGCTAGTGCCCTTTTCAAATAATAACAGGAATGTGGCTAATTTAGACTCATCTTTGATCATATTTAGAGGCTCGAAACTACCAAGAGGCAACAATTTTAGAATGCAGCGAAGTGCTAGCTCTATGAAGTTCATGTGAGTTTCTGCTCTTCCAAAAACTAGTTCCAAAAGCAGTGGTAAGAAATCCAATTGTAGGAAGCATGATTTCTTAAAAGAACAATACTCATCAGATAAGAGAATGATTTTTTCAAGTGCTTGGAGCTTGTTTCCTAAGGTGGTCTCATGAGATTCAAGGGTGAGTTTGATAGAAGCTAGAGAATCAACAGTTGCGGCTGCAGAGTCACAAGGGTCAAATTGAGGACCAAGTTGAAGCCACTGATTGATCAAGTGGCGAAGAGTGTTATTGGGAACAATGGTTGGATCATGAAGCTTCTGCATTGTGACAGGGCATGTGAGGTTACCTGCGGCCAACCATTTTTCTATGTTTGATCTGTCATAGGTTTGGCCTGTGCATAAAGTAACAGGATCTTCCAACAAGTCTAAACTGATGGGGCATCTGAATAAGTGGGGGATTGTGTTTTGAGATTTGTTCATGGAATGAAGATGAAGATAAGATTCCCAAGAACAAAAGAAGAAAACAGTTATTAGAATTTATGTCGCTAATGGAACTTCAAAGTGACAAAAAAACAACAAAGTGGGATCTCAAGATATGATGTCTTATAGTTTGAGGCTTTTGGTGTTGGCAATAGAAGACATGCATTTTACTTTAAAGCAGCCACAAAGATGGTGTGAGAAAGTAACAAACTTTTTTAATTTCCTCTTTTAGCTTCTAAAGCCTTGAGAGATAGAGAGATGCAAGAAACTTGGAAGTAGTGACTCAATTATAAATGAGATGGGTGAGTAAGAATGAGACATGAACCATAAAATATTGCTATTTGCATCCAGAGGAAGTAACGGACAAAGAGAGAAAAGTTACGAAGTTGAGGACTCACATGAATTCCATATAGCAGAAAAGAGTGGTGGAAGGATGGGAAGTTTCTGTTAGTCTGCAATTCTTCGCTATTGACAGGACAGTGGAGAAAGGAAAAGAGCAAAAGAACAAATCTTTGATGGCAAAAACAGAAAGGAACAGCCACAGACACTGAGGCCAAAAAATGGATAATGAATATAATGAAAGAAAGTGGAATAGCAACTAATATTATAGAATAATTGTGAGTATGGTCCCCACCCTCAGCATCTTCTTTATCAATCCAGTCAAACCAAAACACTCTTGGCCCCTCACCTCAAAAATAATATCCACTCAAACTGACCAACCAAGAGGGAAAAATGGTTGTTTATGTCTTTCAAGTTTGAATCCACCTATAATTACAAACTAAAGGACCAAATTGTGGCTTTCGTTTTCTTTTGCTTTTAGCTTGTGTTGGGCTACACCAAAATAGAGGGAAAGCAAGGAGAGGAGGAGGGGCTAATGCCCCATTATCATCTGTCTCATCTTATTAATTATATTTAATTTAAATTTGTTTTGATGAATTTGATTTTGAAAATAGAGTTTAGTATATTTTGAGAATACATTGGAGTTATATTTTGATTTACTCTATTTTTGATCTAATGTTCTATATTTTTAAGGAAAGTATTTTTTTTAATAATTATGACTTAATAATATTTTATATAACTTGATATTATATTTGTTTTGAAATATATACGATAAAATATATTTTATTTTAATATTTTACTTTTTATAATTTAATAATTTCCGTAAATAATACTAAAAATTAATATATTATAATAACAAATAAAATTGACTCGATCTCAGTTCATCTATTATTAAGTCTGATTAAATTAAATTCGAATTAAATAATTGCCCCTATCAAAACTTTAAACTGAATAAAGACAAAAATAAATTAGTTCCAACTCTAAGCATCAATTGTGGGCAACAAATGAGACAGCCGTTTACTCAAGTCATCCACCGCTGTGTAAGATTATGATGTTATGATGTAGTTAACACGTTTAATGAAAAGGCTTTTTAAACAAACGATGCATTATGATTGAGTCATCGTGACTCCTTTGCAGCATAGCGAGAGCTGATTTTTATGTTTTTGTGACATATTCAAATGTAAAATTAAGCTAAAGGTATTTTATACTAAATGACTCCAAAGTGAAACTATTGAGGATATTTGGAAGTGGGTCACTATAATTTGTGATACATCTGGGATACGCACCCTCAGATACACAATTTTGTGGTACCGTGTTTCTCTCTCAACCACACTTATAGGCCTTTCAATTGGACCAAAGATATGACACAATGAAGATATGTTCAAAAATGGCTTCATGAATATCTTAGGGATGTATCTGACTATATCTTTTCTAAGTCTAATTATTGTAATTTCACATTATTATTATAACAGGAAATTAGAATTTTTTCAAAATAATTGTTCACAATTTTCTTTTGGAGGATATAGTCTATTATATGGATCAGGATCCCCTCATGTTCAAAATTGAACATGAGGGTCATGTTGGTGTATTTTTGTAATTTTGCTTAAGCGAAATTTTGTTCGCTTAAGCGAGCGTACAAAAATATACCAACATGACTCTCATGTTTGATTTTGAATATAAGGGGATCTTTTTTTTCTATAGGACCATTGCTCATGTGGGCTATGTCACTTAACATATTGCCATAGGTGGGTATCTTAGACTGTTTCTGTAGCTTTAGGCCTTTTCTTTTTGCCAGGCCCATTGAACAGTAATTCAGTTACCTAAAATGTGATAATAGTTCAACAAATGTTTAGGCATTCCAAATATGAAATTCTATTTACCTTAAAATAATCTCAAAGAATCGTTCATCTGATAGCGCACAGCCAACCAATGAACCTTCAATTGTATCTTAAACTGACCTGCATCGTGTACAGACAACAGACTGATCTGCACCAAAACGTACCTAAGCCACAACCTAGTCGGCGCTACAAAACACAAATACTAGATATTTGTTAAATTCCTCAAATTTGGGGAAGATGTTTTGGTCGTCTATTTTTCATCAATCATCATGGCAGTTTGCAATGGATTTTGGTTTATAACTGTAAGCTGCGAGAAACTGGGATTATAAAGAAAAACAAGCCATCCAGAGGTATAAATCCAAGCAATTATGCATCAAAATAGAAATTACAAGACAGAGATGAAATTGGAGGTCTTTATAATGTTGATAAGTACGATTAACAGTAATCATGTACTGTCCAATTTGTTCATTAAGTTTCCTTTCTTTTTTATGTTACAGTGGAGGTGCAAGCACTTGGATCAGGGGATATGGTTGCCCTGGTGGAGGATTCACCTCTCACCAAATCTTAATGAGTTGCAATTGTCATCATATTTTGCAATACATTTCTTGTGTCTGTTCAATTTTTAAAAAAGTCAAAGTAATTTAAAAGAAGATCAATTTATGAAGTAACTAGGAAGTGTTTTAACTTAGTGTGTGTTGCTGACATTTCTCTAGTTGGAATTGATAGGAAATTAGACCAGAAGCAGAAGAAAAGGTGGAATAAACAGTTATATCTCCTCTGCCATATGATACCAGCGGAAGAAGGGTTAAAATGTGTAAAGATAGATGAGCAATACTATACAAATGCAATTAGCTTATACAATATGGAGAGTGCTTGATGCTCTCCTCTGTTTCACACTCATCATTTCTTGCACTTGGGCTCCCTTTGAATGTTGAATTTGTTTTGCTCTTAGGATGGTTGGGGGCGTTATATGGTACAGTTTGGATTGGAAATTGTGGCCTAATTGCACTTTATCTATTTGGTGGTTGGAATGCAGTAGTTGTTGGTTGAACAAGTATTGTCCCTTTTGCAGCTACCTTTGAACAGGGAATTTAAAAGAAAAGAAAAAATTCCTAACTGATCACGTTACAGGACCTTGGTTCAAAAGGAAAACAACCACATAAGCAATTGTTCAGCTTCATATCATATTATCATATAAATACATATACAAGTATATAGGTTTTGCAAACACCGGTGTCTGATCACAGCAACTTTGGAGTCGTTACAGATGCTTTTTATTTACACTCGTTGGATTTACATTACATGCAGGTAAAGCTCAGTTGAACTAATTGTTAACCAAAATTGTAATTATATTAAATTTCTATGAAACAGTGAAACACGAGTTGAAAGATCACTATATATACAAAATCCTGCATCAAACTCTCATACTTTGGGGCGGGCAAGGACACTAGTAGATGCTAAATGAAATGCATTTTACAAACATAAATCAAAGTTCAAATCGAATCTTCGTGATTTTTTAAATCTTCCAATGTTAAAGGCATAATAATCAATAAAATGCAATTTTTTTTATCACGGAAAAGTGAATAAAGAAAACAATAATATTTTACTACATAATTGCGAAAGAAAATTGAAGGGTGAAAATTTTATAGTTGAATCACTAATTTATCATATCAGTTAATCACAGACATTTTTATGTAAATATATTATAAAAACTTTTTACTGACTGCATTAAAGATAGCAAATGGAAAAAAAAATGAGAATCCTTTCAATTATATGACAAAACCAAAACTCTTGAAATAATTACACACCCTATAGTATGCAATAAGATTATAAAATATGTAGTTCTAGAATATGCACTCGGTGATCCCACTTCCTTTATGACATCGTTTACGTGATGTGGCTTTTTAATTTAGAAAATGTTGCATGTACAAGGACACATTCTTAGGTGCTTTATTCATATTTTAAATATATTATAGTATGCGTACTTACAGAAAAAAAAAAAAAGAGATAAATGAAAATATAATATATAATATTTTTTAATTGTTGAAATAACACAACCTTTTCAATTTATTCCTCAATGAACTACCCATCGTGGAGTTGATTTTGTTTCCACTCTTTTGGGGCATACTTTGGAGATAACCTATGGGAAAGAGAAAACAACTCAATCACAATGGTGTACTGCTGCATTAGATATTAACAATAAGATGACCCCATACTAACATATAGGTCGTACGTAGACATGATAGGTAAAATTGTGTTCTCATCGACATGCAGCCATGGGCATAAGTTATGTCTAAAGAGAAAAAGTTCTGATTTCATAGGCCCCTTGACGCAACAGAAGCTTTATTTTTTCCATTCCTTGTTGGATCATTGGTGATAATGTGGCAATCACATGATGGCTACATTTCCTCTTGCACTGTCATCTACATCTACCCACTACATCTCAACCTTCTAATCCTACAATAATTCACATACCATAGGCCATAAATAACAAGCTAACTCACTAACAAATCACGTCCAACAATGGCTGCAATGGTCTGGGTATTGGCTTTAGCTAGCCTTTGCTCTCCGCTAGCCTCAATCAATGCCCAAGGACCAGCAGGTGCACCTTCCAAATTGCCAACTTCAACCCCTTCAGCACCATCTACATTGCCAACCACAAACCCAGTTGCACCCTCCACATTGCCAAGCGCAACCACAGCTGCACCATCAAAGTTGCCAAGCACAACCACAGTTGCACCCTCTACATTGCCAACCACAACTCCAACTGCACCCTCCACATTGCCAACAGCAACTTCCCCCTCTTCTGGCACACCATCAGTAGCCAAACAACCACCAATTGTGGCTACAAGCCCTGCCACCTCAAAGAAACCACCAGCAGCATCTTCTCCCACTACTACTACCAACCCACCCACAGCAACCACAACCACAGCTGCACCCTCCAACTTGCCAAATGCAGCTTCCCCCACTTCTACCATAAAACCACCCATTGTGACGACAACCCCTCTTCCCTCAAGGAAGCCACTAATAGCAACCTCTCCCACTTCCACCACTCAGTCGCCTGTCAAATCACCACTTCCCAAGGTTGCATCTCCAACCTCATCTTCTCCTGTGAAATCACCACTTCCTAAGGTTTCTTCTCCAACAACATCTGCTCCTATGAAATCACCAGTTCCCAAGGTCGCATCTCCAACGTCATCTGCTCCTATAAAATCAACAGTTCCAAAGGTTTCATCTCCAACATCATCTGATCCTGTTAAATCACCACTTCCTAAGGTAGCTTCTCCAACATCTGCTCCTGTGAAATCAACAGTTCCTAAGGTTTCATCTCCAACAACTGCTCCTGTGAAATCACCAGTTCCCAAAGTTACATCTCCAGCATCTGCTCCTGTGAAAGTACCTGTTCCCAAAGTGACAACTCCAACATCTGCTCCTGTTAAATTACCAGTTCCTAAAGTTACAACTCCAACATCTGCTCCTGTTAAATTACCTGATCCCAAGCCACCAACATCTACTCCAGTGAAATCACCTGTTCCCAAAACTACACCACCAAAACTTGCTCCTATGAAGCCACCTGTTCCCAAGGTTGCACCAGCATTAAGTCCAAAACCCCCAGCCCCCAAAATCCCACCACCACAACCCCCCAAAAAAGCACCTATTCCACTACCACCAGCTGTTCCCCCACCATTGCCACTACCACCGGCTGATTCACCACCACCGCTGCCTCCTCCAAAAGTATCCCCAACACCAGCCAAAGCACCGACACCAGCCAAAGAAACACCAACACCAGCACCTGCACACAAAAAGAAATCACCAAAACCATCACCTGTTCCTTCACCCCTAAGTGACACGCCAACACCTGCACCAACGCCAGCAATAGAAACACCAACACCAGCACCAGCACCTGAAGATGACACCCCAGAACCACCACCCCACAGGCACAGGAGAAAAGGACACAAGCACAAGCGCAAGCACAAGAGACACCATGCACTATCTCTTGCTCCGGCGCCCACTATTATTCGGAGGAGTCCCCCAGCACCACTTGCTGATGACATTAGTACAACCGATTCAGAAGAGACACCATCACCAGCACCAAGTCCTAATGCGGTAATATTATCTTTGACCGCTTAAATTTATTTATATTACCATAGTAATATTATATGCATTACAGCGTTAACTTCTGGGAAAACCCTGTACTAGAACGAACATGACATATATATACATTACCGTCACTATATTCCATCTAATAAATTAAGCATTTAGGAAGATTAACTAAATTCTTCATATGGTATCAAGCCTTTTAAACCAAGTGATCTTCCCACCATTCATGTAAATCTAAATTCTAAACAACTTTGAATTTCAAATTAAGCCAAAATAAGACAGTGTATTGTTATGCTTCAAAGTAAATTTGTACATGAGAACTTCTTATTTATAAAGCCATTCATACGCTAAGCTAGTTGTTTTCTAATGTGAGTTCTTACAATTTTAACCAAATCTCTTTTTGTTTACAGAATGGAGCACAATCATACCATAGGCAAGGGAAAAATATATGGTCAAGTATTGGATTCGCTATGGCCATTTTGTTATATGTCATCACTTGACACTTGCAACAGCCGCTATAGAAGTCCCATATGACAACCATGGATTCACCCTAAACGGTTATTTGGTTTGCAAAACATATAAAATCATTTAATTTGTGCGCAACTGAATAATGAACAATTGTGCTCATATATTCTTAATTTTTTTATTTCGTTATTTCTTTGCATTGAGATCTTTGCTAAAATATATTAAGGATACAAGTTTTTGAATTATTGGAACGATCAGGAACTGCCATGCATAATGTACACATATACGTAAAATTAAAATTGATCAATTTCTGAATGCGAGTTTATTTTCTCCAAAAAATTGTACTTCATGACAATTCCGAGAATGTACATACACAATACAATCATGAACATCCAATTGCTTAAAATAGAGTATTGTACGTAAGTATAGCATTAAATTACGTAATACCTGTGTTACAAATGTAACTACGTACGAGTGCGTTATTAAAAACTATAGCCATCATCAATATGGTTTTTTGAAAGAAAAGTACAGATTTAGCAATAACAAGAAAAGGCAACAGCAGCACTAATTACAAGCCAACCGGATAGACCATGAATATTTTGACACGAATATAATTATTTCAGGGTTTTACCCGTTTCGTCAATCTTCATCTTTTAGAACTCCTTGAAAACATGAAGTGCGGTGCCCACTTATGTTTTTTATAATTAATAAAGTCAAAACTTAAATAAAAAGGTAGGCAGCCGGAATTTATTCTATTTTCATTTTTATTAGACAAAAGTTTTACTGATCTAAGCGTTCTTTATTGTAATAATATTTCACAAATTAACGATCAGAATAATTTTATCTGTATAAAAATATTATCATTTGTTCCTAATCCATGTATATATATACATATAATTACGATCATATGATACCATGTAAGGGTCTTCACAAATTAGATCAATGCGATTTTAGTTTTCTTCCTTAAGTAATATAGTTTTTCATCCAGTTCTTTAGCACACTTTTAATTATTAATTAAAATTTATTAAAAATTACATTATCCTCACTCTTTCTATTTTTTAAATTAATATTTTTTTCTCATACTATCATAATTTTTAATAAAATTTTGTTAAAAATAATGTATTAGAAAATATTATATTAGCTGTCCTCAACTTTTAATTGTATAATTTTAGATTTATTTTTTTTAAATGTAATAATATGATCCTTCTATTACATTTTCATTCAAAATTTAACATAACATGATTATGTCAATAACTTTAAATTGAGTTGGCAAGTAAGTATGTTATACATTCTTTCAGCATTATTTTGAATTAAAAAAAAATTAAGAGAATGTTTTGAACACCTTGTTGAAACTTTAATAGAAGAAAACAAGAAAGAAATAGAATCTCATGTATATCACATGTGACATTTCTTCGAAATTTTATTCAATTATGCTTAAATTCAAGAATGCATAAGTTATTATTAATATCATCAGATTTTATTAAACTTAGATGAATATGTATTAGAAGAACCGAATTATTAAAATGAGAAAATTCAAAACTAAAATAGCACAATTGAATGTAAGGGAACTAAAACAGTGCACAAATTGTACAGTTATGGAACTAAAGGCACTAGAATTAAACCTAATATAATATAGTAAGGATCTCATGTTCACAAAATATTTTTGTTAAAAATATACAAAAATAAATTATTTTTTAGAAAATTAAATAAATTGATATAATTTTATATATTTTAATGAAAAATATAAAAGACAGGCCTTTAAAAATTTTAATATTTTTTGCTATTAAATTTTTTAATATTTTAAAATATAAAAAAGGAACATTTTAATTTAAGTAACATGTTAACATCAGCTGACTGATTTTAAACAATTACAAGTGTACGATTTTAGTATTAAGAAAAAAAAAGAATATAAAGGTGGAATAAATATTTTAAAAAAAGTTTATTACTTTTAAATACTTAAAGTTAATTTTAAAGAATGATGTTAAAAAATGTTAAGGGTCACTATCCAATGTCCTAAGAATATTAATTAATTTAATAAATTAATAAATAATAATTTATTTAAAATTATATAAAAATGCAATAAAAACTGCAAGACTGAATGCATTCTTGCATTACAAATAACAGGTCGATGGATCGCCACAACGTTTGAGTTGTTGCACACCTTTTTTATTTACACTCGTTGGATTTACCAAAAATCAGCTGAATTAATTCTTAACTAAAATTATAATTATATTTCAAAGAAACAGTGATACTTGTTCATAGCATGACCAATAGATCGATGCCAGTAAATTGAAATGGAAAAGCAAAGTTCAATCTGAAACCAAACAAATGGAAATAAAAATTTTAGAATATCTTTTGAATTATATAGTTCTAGATTATAAAATTTTGGGTCACATCAACGAGGGTTAAGAGGTGGAAGAGGAAGAGGAAGAAGGAACAAAGATAAATCAATATGTCAAGTTTATGATAAGGCTGGACACAGCTACTCATTGCTTCTACCATTTTGATAAATTTTATATGGAGCATTCTGAGGAAAAGGCAGAAAAACATAATGCTTTCATTGCATCACCTAACTCAGTTCAAAATTTCAATTGATACTTTGACAGTGGTGCTTCAAATCATGTCACTCATGATTTTGATCAGCTTCAAGAATATGTTGAACATGATGGTAAGCAGAATCTGATGGTTGATAATGGTGATAAATTAAGTATCTTAGCCTTTGGTACTGCCACTGTGAATACTAGGCAAAAACAACTTAATTTGCATGACATTCTCTATGTGCCTAACATCACAAAGAATTTGTTTATTATTTCTAGACTTGCTGTAACACCTTAAATTTAATTTTCAATAAATAAGAACTTTTGCAAATTTTTTAAATAATAAAATTTCCATTTTAATTCAAGTTTCATCAACCATTTCAAATAAAGAAAGGGGTTATAAATTATATCAAACAGTCGCTACAGGACTTATTCTAATACAATAATTTTCTAAAATAATGTCCTAAGTTCTATAGCAGTTCCATCCACCCCTTTACTGAGTCTGGTGCTGATCGTCTTGATTACATGAAAAATGAATGTAAGAGTGAGTACTTTATACTACCCAAAACACATAGTCAACATAGAGTCTCACATCGAGAACATTTTTCAATACATTAACCAAGAACAACACAAGCAGCATTTCACATCTATAAGTATAATTCATAAACCCAATGCATATGCACGCCAGCCACATTCACTGCAGCACTATGATCATAGATTTATACCATGAATGGTCGCTGGTTACCCCTGCCTCACGGATACAACGTGGGTAGTCACGGGTCGCTCAGCAAAGGTAATGGTCATAAGTCTAATCAAGAAGAGAGTGTGTGGCCCGTGGTGCACCCGTTCCGCAGTCAGTGTCACTACCACTCCTTCTTCCCAAGATATTTCTACCGTCTTCATCTCCCACACCTCCAGTGTATCGCTGAACCATTCACAGCACATTACAACAACGCTAACACGCCCATTCACATATATTCCATTCATGCATGCAATAATCATGCTTACACATGGCACACAACCCACATTGCATTCAAATACACAGCACTAGACCCACATTCATTTCACATTACACGACACATAGCCAACATTCATCTATATTACATGGTCATCGGGCCCACATTTGTTCACACACCGCAATACATAGCAAAATTCCATCAATCACGTATTCTCTCATCCATACACATAATATTCATATATCATGGCACATGGCCCACATCATATTTCACAGTAATTTCCTATCCTCTAGTTAGCCACATCACAATATTCAACTAAATAACGGTAAATCGCATACAAAGAGTAGGGTAGAGTCCTCCATTACCTCGGATTGACGTCCCACACGCTAAATCCACCAAGAAGTACTCCCCATCACGGATTTCATCCTAAACACATGGAGAAACTCTATGAGAACCTAGGAAAACCACGGAAATAGAGAAAGGGGATGTAAAACTGAAACCCTAACCATTAAAACTCACCTCCAAGTGCTCCTCACACGGATTTAACCTTCAATCAAGCTCCTGAACGGCTTTGGAGGCAATTTAATCGATGAAAAGGGCTTTGGGCATGAGAGGATTGAAGGGAGAGGGAGAAATAACTCTTCCTGAACCCTAACGCCCTTTAAATCATTTTCGGGTTGCGACACTCTCGCTATGGCGAGATATTCTCGCTGTAGCAACATGCCCTCTCGCTACAGCGAAAAACCAGAGAAAACTGTACTCTGGTTTCTGCAGAATCTCGCTACAGTGAGACCTTTTCTCTATAGCGAGACTGCACCCAGAAATGCACCTCAAACTGTCGCTTTCTCCCTACAGCGAGACATCTTTCGCTACAGCGAGAAGGTGACAGTTTCAGTCCTTCCTCCCAGGGCCCTCTCGCTGCGACGAGAATCCTCTCACTCCAGCGAGAACAACCCAGTATCTCGCCCTGTACTTAGGCACTTTGCCCATTTCAGCCCAACCAGTCATGCATACACACACACACACACACACACACATATATATACATATTCACAACATATATCTAAAAAAATACACACATAAATATACATTTATATTTATATAATTATCAATAATTAATATTACAAAATTCGGGGTGTTACACTTGTTGCTGACAATAATACTATTGTGAGTTTGATGTCACTAAATGTTTTGTGAAGGACAAGTTGACAGGAAAAATCCTACTAGAAGGGAGAATTAAGGATGGCTTGCACCAGCTCTCAAGAGGTCTCTCTCAGCCGAATTCAAACCCAAGGGTCTTCATTTCTATTAAAGAGAGCTGGCATAGGAAGCTTGGTCACCCTAGTAGCAAAGTTCTCGATGAGGTATTAAAAGCCTACAAAATCAAAGTTCCATCAAGTGATCAATTTAGTTTTTATGAAGCTTGTTAGTTTGGAAAGGCACATCTCTTACCTTTTAGGACCTATACATCTCATGCCAAAGAAGCACTTGAATTAATTCATACTGATGTATGGGGTCCAGCTCCAATAAATTCAATTTCTGGTTTTAAATACTGTGTACACTTTCTGAATGATTTTAGTAGATTCGTTTTAATGGTAAAGCAGAAAGAAAGCATAGGCATATAGTAGAACTTGGTTTAACCTAGCTAGCACAAGCAAAAATGTCATTATACTATTAGTGGGAAGCCTTCTCTGTAACGCCCCAAATTTTGGTAATATTAATTATTATTATTATTATTATTATTATATATGTATACATATATATATATATATATATATATATTCATATGTGTGTTGATTTATTTGATAATGATGTTTATGTGTATTAAGTACATGGATGTGTGTATTTGTGTGTATGCATGACTGGATAGGGTTAAGATGAGCTAAGTGCCTAAGTGCAGGGCGTGATACTGGGTTGCTCTTGCTGTAGCGAGAGGGTCCTAGGAGGGAGGACTGAAACTGTCGCCTTCTTGCAGTAACGAGAAACATCTTGCTATAGCAACAGAACGACAATTTGAGCTGTATTTCTGGCTGCAGTCTCGCTGTAGCGAGAGGGTCTCGCTCTAGCGAGATTCTGCAGAAACTAGGGTGTAGTTTTGTCTGATATTTTCGCTGCAGCGTGAGGGCGTGTCACTGCAGCGAGGTCCCTTCGCTGCAGCGAGAATATCTCGCTGTAGAGAGAGTGTCACGACCAGAAAAGGATTTAAAGGGGGTTAGGGTTTGGAGAGAGTTATTTCTTCCTCTCCCTTCCATCCTCTCATACCCAGAGCCCTATTCCACCGATTAACTGTCTCCAAAACCGTTCACGAGCTTGATTGAAGGTTTAATCCATGTGGAGAATGCTTGGAGGTGAGTTTTAATGGTTAGGGTTCCGTTTCTCATCCCCTTTTCTCTGTTTCTAGGTTTCCTTGGGTTCTCATAGAATTCTTCCATATATTTTAGGCTAAAATCTGTGTAGGGAGCACGTCCATGGTCGAATCCAAGTGTGAGTCTTCAATCCAAGGTAAGGGAGGACTCTACTCTATCTCAATGTATTATAATTCTTGTGTGTTTTGTTGATTAATGCAATGTGGCTGAGATAGGGAGTAGAAATTGTGTGTTTGATAGAAATTGGTGTGCACTGTGATGTGTGCTAGAATAGTTAGGCCCCGTGGAGGTGATTGTGTATGATGGAATACCATTGAATTGTGAATTAATGACATTGTGAATAAATGAAGGCTATGTACTGTACATTGTGAATAAATATGGGCCCGAGGGCCGTGTAATATAACTGAATTTTGGCTATGTGCCGTGTAATGTGAAATGAATGTGAGCCTAGAGTCGTGTATTTAGATGTAATGTGGGCTGTGTGCCGTGTGTAAGCATGATTATTGCACGCGTGAATAAAATGTGTGTGAATGGGCATGTTAGCGCCGTTGTAATGTGCTATGAATGGTTCAGCGATACACTGGGGGTGTGGAAGATGAGGACGGTAGAAATACCTTGGGGAAGAGGGAGTGGTGGTGACACCGACTGTGGAACGGGCGCACCACGGGCCACACACTCTCTTCCTGATTAGACCTCTGACCACTACCTTTGCTGAGCGACCCATGACTGCCCACGTGGTATCCATGAGGCGGGGGTAACCGGCGACCATTCATAGTGTAAATCTGTGATCACAATACCACAGTGAGTGTGGCTGGTGTGCGTATGCATGGGTTCATGGATTGTACTTATGAATGTGAAATGTTGTCGATGCCATAAGTGCATTGGTGTTAAATTAACATGAGTTGTGTGATAATACTGTCTGTGATTGTATTTGCTTAATGTATTGGTAATGTGTTGGAGGTGAGACTCTATGCTGACTGTGTGCTTTGGGGTAGTGTAGAGTACTCACCCATACATTCATTTTGCAGGTAATTAAGACGATTAGCACCGGACTCAGTGAATGGACGGATGGACTGCTATAGGATATAGAATTTATTTTGAAAATGTTGTAATTGAACTAGTCCTGTAGCAGTTATTTGATATTAATTTGTAACCCTTCACTTATTTCAAAATCTTTTATGAAAATTTGGTTATCTGATTTGCGAAATTATTATTTAATTGAAATTGAATTTAAGGTGTTACATTCTCTATTGTAGTCTACTTAATTAACAAATTGCCAACACCTACCATTAGAAAACAAACCCCTTATTCACTCCTCCTTAGCAAGGAGCCTGACTACAATACACTAAAACCTTTTGGTTGTGCATGTTATCCCTGTCTTAAGCCATATAACAGGCACAAGGTACAATTTCACACTACCAGATGTGTTTTCCTTGGCTATGGTAGCTCACATAAAGGGTATAAGTGTATGAACTCGAATGGAAGGGTGTTTGTCTCAAGACATGTGATCTTCAATGAAGATTACTTCCCTTTCCATTATGGTTTTCTAAACACAAAGAAGTATAATTAGTTCCTCGGCGCCAAAAACTTATTGAGACTTTTTCTTCAAACACGACAAGTATACCAGGTCTGTTACAAGTAATAACCAGTAGAGTATCAGAATATCATCCTCAGAGAGCAATTCAAACGTATTAATTAATAAGATACAAATTAATTGAGCTTATATACACTAGAATTCAGCGATAAATATAACAACCATTTTCTATGAATCTGATGCAAAATACGAAAGTTCTATATTTCAATTCCTTGAAGATATATTTCTAAGATAATTTCTCAAATGTTGATTCCTCAAACAGTTAACAAACTATCCAGCATTAAAATCAGGATTTAAAAGCAATCAATAACTTGAAATCTATTCATAGAGTAACCAATTATTGAGTAATCTCAATCAGATTTAAATCTAAATAATATTTTTTCAAATATAACTTAGATCTGAGCTCCAGAAACCATCAAATAGACAGATTCAACCATTAAAACGGATTGATATCACCAAAATAATAGAAATGAAGAAGAAACAACTATATTTATATAAATTACTGAGAATACATCAAGTTTGAATATTTACATTCAATCCCATACAAGGTTTAGCTATTCATGGCAATCATAGTAACAAGAACTAAGATACAAATGGAGTAGAACATTAAAAATTTAGTATTCCTACTCTTTTCCTATGCTATGCACCGCTCTCCCTCTCTGAAAATGCTTATGGAACAGTAACTTCCCTCAAAAACATAAAAGTCACCTTTTATACCGGTCTGCTCGAACTTCTCTCGCTACAGCGAAACTTCCTCGCTGTAGCAAGACTTGGAGATAGAAATTAGGTCATTCTGTTTGTTTCTCGTTGCAGTGATAATTCTCGCTACAGCGACCAAGGAGCAATGTGCAAATTGTATTAGTTTTTAAGTATAATTAATTGAGATTGTCATTAGTTTTATTTGATTTTCGTTTATCTGGTTACTCTTTGTTGCTAATCTTGTTTCAAGTTCCTTGTTTATGATATTGCAAGGAAAAGCTATTTCAGATCAGCTACTGTTTGATCCAGAGAGTGAAAGAACATCTAGAAGAAATAATAGTGCAACAAGAAAGAAAAAGAAACAAGTACAACAAAGAGCATCTTCAACTTCACAACCACTAAAAATTCACTCAGATTCAGAAAAAGAAAAAAATGGCTGATCTTGGAGAAAATAACCAAGGAGGCAATGGAGGACAAAGAGCAAATCCACCACTAAGAAGAACTCTTGGTGATTATGCAATGCATCAAGGGCTAAGACACTATTCAAGTATAGTGGTTCCACCTAATGCAAGGACTATAGAAATTAAGCCTGCTTTCCTGAATTTGATTAGTTCACATCAATTCTCAGGAAAGGATCATGAAAACCCATATGTCCATCTCGATACTTTTGATGAGTTGGTATCCACTATAGAAATATGATAATGAGGAGGAAATATATTTGAAGCTATTTCCATTTTCTCTAATTGGGGAAGCAAAAGAATAGTTGAAATCACATCCAAATCAGAGTCTGACAAGCCGGAGAGATGTGGAAAGGAAATTTCTTATCAGATTCTTTCCATCATACAAGTATGTTAGTGCAAAATTTGATATCTCCACTTTCAGACAAGGTCAAGATGAAGCATTCTATGAAGCTTGGGAACGTTTCTGGTCCTTGCTTAAGAAATGTCCTTATCATGGGTTTAAAGATGTAGATCAGTTTAATATATTTTGCAATGGTCTTCGGCTTGATACTAAAATAATTTTGGATGTTGCTGCTAGCGAAACAATGATGGCAGTAGATGTAGAGCAAGCCACCAGAATAATTAATGCTCTTTCATCCATTGATAGGCAAGCTCAGTATAATAGAAGGGTAGTGTAGAAAAGAGGAGTTTTAGATTTGAGCATATCAGATGTTATCCTTGCTTAAAACAAAATCATAACTCAACAGATTGAAGCCCTCACGAAACATATGACCAAGTTGCCACAATAGCTTCATTCAGTTCACTCTATAACTAGCCAAGTACTCAAATATGATTTTTGTGGAAGGGACTATCTAAATAGAAATTGTGCTTACCCAACTTAAAATGCAGAAAATAAGGAAGTAAATTATATGAGTAACCCACCATGGGGAGGTAATTTTTCTAACCCTAACACTAATTCTTATTCTAACAATTCTTCACAGGTTGGAGGTAGAACCAAAACCAAGGATATGGGTGGAGACAAGAAGCTGGACCATTAAACAGACCACCACCTTTTCAATAGCAATCTTTATACAATCAATAACAAAAGCAGCCACACTTTCCTCCACTTCATGAGAGACAGTCTGTAACACTCCAAATTTTTCTCATTTCATAAATAATTTTGTAGTATGTTAACCTCATTTAATTAAAAGTAAGTAGTACAAAAAGACTTGAGAACTAGAATTTTTCCTTAGTAAAATTTACCGAAATAAGTTCGATAGGTAAATAATTGAGTAATATAAAAAAAAATTTATTTAACATTTTAGAATATCTAAAATATTTTTATGAATTATAAGAAATGTAGGAAGATCCAAAAATGGAAAATAAATAAAATTAAAAAAAATTAACTAAAATGACCAAAATATCCCTAGAAACACCTAGAATGGAGGCCCATTTTGGACAAGCAAATGAAGGAGATAAATTATGAAATTTTTATGATAGATGGCCCATGTGTAGAGGTCATGGACGTGCAAGTTTGGAGCCAAAAGAGCAAGTATAGAAATTACCCAAAAATCATCCAAAAAGAGGCCCAAAAACTAAGTGTATATGAAAGAAAGTGGGCTAGGAATAGTAGTAAGGAGCCATGTGACCCTTTAGAGCCATGTGAGACTAATCATGATTAAGGGATAAGGTCATTTATGGTTTAATCCCAGCTGGATGAGCATATTCCATAAGAACCAATGAAATTAAACCAAAACAACAAGATAAGTATTCTAGAAGATAAGGCTAATGATGAATAACTTGTGGACTAATCCTCATCTAATGGATCTAATTGGACCAGGACCATGACCATTGGATTTGAACTAAATAGGTTTCAAAAAGTAATTGGAATGGTTGAAATGGAACTAGAAAAGTTAAAATCTAACTAGAATTACAAAACTATCATGAAAGGGGCAATTTTGGACATTTACAAATATGCACATGAGTAAGCTTGTAGAAAAAACCAAAAAGAAACCAAAATTGAAAATCAAGACTTGTGTGAGAGAGGGTGGAACCGTGAGATGCATGGGAGTGGGCCAACATGAAGAGATTTTCTATATAAAGCCATGCATAAAGGAGAAAAAGACCCTTCATTCTAATTTTCATGCAACAAAGAGCTCTTTACTTCTTCTTCATTTCTATTCTCTCTATACACATCCAAGTTCATCTCAAACACTTTACTTGAACCTCACAAGTTAGATCACCCAATACCCCACCATAAGGATCTTGAATCAAGCCTTTAACCCCACCAAAAACATCAAGATACCCCACTAGATCCACAAAGCCTCCAACTTTCTTTTTGTATACTATTTGACACTTGAGGAAGTAGGAAGCCAAGAAAGGAGATACTCACTTCCAAGAGGTGAAATAAAGAAAAAGGGAAGAGGCGAAGGATCACCCAAAGATCAAGGCTAGATCAACCCAAAAACACCAAGTAAGGAGGGAGGGTACTTTTTATAATCAAGGGGAATACCTTGTTTAAATGGTTTTGAGTCAAGGGGAGCCTTAACCCTTTTGTTTGTGATTGAAGTTGTGTGTTTTGATGAACCCATGATTAAAATTTTGATTGAGATAAATAAATGCATGGAAATTACTAAGAACTACAAAGTGTTGATGATGACTTTGCTTGTTATGTGGTTAGTTGTATGAAAATCTTGCATATTTCATTTTGTGACTTATTCTTATGATGATATCTAAGTTGGATTCATGATCTTCTTTTGATTGAAATTATTTTGGAGTCAATAAATTTCTATAATATTTTTGAAAAAAGAAAATTTATGAAAGAAACTTCTAAAAGGAAATGGATTAAAAATGGAAAGTGACCATGATGAAGACCCTTGGACTTTTGGACATATTTGGACCTATGGACTACATGAACAAATGATGAGAACAAGCTTTAAAATAATAAATTTGAAAGATTGAACCTAAAAAAAATAGGAAGATACTATAGACTTGGACCAAAAATACCTTAGATATGCAAGATCCTTGTCCACATGTGTGGTAGGACCAAGAGAATAATTTGAACCATATTTGGACATGAATTAATGACCTTGAATACATGGAAGACATAATGGACAATTTGATGCTTACCAAATAGGAGACAAGGACCTTTTCTCAATTACTATAAAATATAAGGATTAAAGTGTAAATAATGTAAAATATGAGAAAATCTTTAAAAGTGTTTTTTTTAGTATTTTATTCATGAAGATAGTAAAATTTATATTATTTTCCCGCTGGGTTTATTTTATTTGGGTTTATATTTAATTAATTATGATTTTTATAAATTTCTGTTGCATGAAAATGGTATTCTGGAGCAGTATATCTTGACTTATTTTCGTCTCACTGTGTGTTTGGAGCGTTATTTTATTGAGATTTTTCTACGAACATATACTTCTCAATGGAAGTATACTCACTGGTTTCACTTGATTTGGAATTGAAATAAAATAGTTATGAATTATTGAATATTCGGTTATGTGTAAATGTTTTCTGAGAACTGCATACTTTAAATCATTTTCTTCTTATAATTCAAGTGTAACTGTATTTTATTTATATTTTTCTCTTAAACTATAATTTATGAGGAAAATATGCTCACTAAGTTTGATCAATTTGGAATTAAAATGAATTACTTATGATTTTCTCAAGGTGCTGTTGTATGACAATAACATTTTGTGCATGCTACTGAAAAATCTCCTTTCGTTTTAAAATGTATAAGTGGCGTTATTTTATTGTTATTTTTGTGTAAAAATAGAGACTATAATAGAAATATCCTCACTGGTTTGATGAATTTTGGACTTAATAGTTATGACTTTTCTAATTAGTTGATTCTGATAAGTGTGTTAGTGTGAGTAATAGAGAATGTTTAGGGCTTAATCTGGAATCTGGAAGTTATAAATTTAAATGATATTTTTCCGTGAAACTAGATAAACAAATTAAAAGGATGCCACTAATTTCATGAGTTTTGGTGATGAATTGAATGATTTATGATTTTTCCAATATGCTGTTGTTAAATTGTGCTATTCTATGACATGTACTGAGAAATTAAAGCACGAATTGATGTCTGGGAATATTTTTATTTTGGAAGTATTTTTACATGAACATAGACATGTTAATGGAAATAATCTCACTGGCCTCATGTGTTTTAGATGAGAATTGAATTTATTATGAATTTTACAATATGCTGGCTATTTAGTGAAATGATCTGAGAACATTAGAGGTAAGCTGAGACTTGATTAATTCTTTGGAAGCTTTTGTATTTTGGCTGAAATTTTTATATTACAGTAGACATTTAAAGGAAGAAAACCTTAGTGATTTCATGATGTTTGGACTCGTATCGAATTAATTATGAATTTTACAAGTTAGTTCATGAAATCTGAAAAATTTTGATTGTTAGCCATGTCCATGTAATTGATTGTTCTCTTAAAATAGAAATGTTATAATGTGCCTGTTGGACAATCAATGGCTATGATATTATTTGTATTTATGATTGTAAAAGAGGTTGAATACGCCACGGTACAGGCGAAAAGCAAATAAGGTTGGCATTTACCATAGGGGATAGGAGAGTGCCCAAGACTTACAGGGGACCAAGTCTAGCTAACTTGTGTCGTAGGCAGTGGAAACTTTGCTAGCCTATCCTGACAGGCACTAGAGCATACCAAGATTGGTTTGAGTGTGGGTTGCTGGTAGTGATCATAAAGTGAGAATTATGCACTTATGTTCTGTCTCCGGTGAAGGGAGAAGATATACCTATGACACTAACTGGATTGCAGACACAGAACTCTCAATCTCAACCTGAAATTAAAATGTTGGATAATTAAATTAATTACTCCATGGAGGACTCAAAAATAAAAGATACTAAATGATTATTGCTTAATGCTTAAATGTTATTTTGTTCATTTAAGCAAACATAATGTGTAATGCTTGGTATTGTTGATGTCTAATTGATGTTTTGTTCGTTTAAACATGAGTATTTTCTATTAGATTGTTTATGAATATTTGTACTCACCCCTATCTTTTTCTATGATGTTTCCAAAATGTATATGGATGCAAAATGAATGAAGATGCACCAATAACTCCTGTGCGTACCATGACCTTTAGTATGGGGACTGGAGAGTGGAGTTTCAATGACTCCAACCAAACCATCATATTTCAAGGCTTTATTATTTTAACTATATCTACTGTTAATAATCCCTATGTTAGTCCTACTATTATACAGGGAGAAGCTAGAGTGGAGGTCCCTTTACCTCTCTCCCATGTAGCTGCATACCTTGGCATTGATCTTGACCCTCTTCCAGGGGGATTGGATGAATAAGGAAGGAGTCAAGAGGAGAGGGGGAGTTTAGTTTATCTATGTATTATGTGCAGTATACTATCCTAGAATGTTATCCTTCCTTGTAATGTTCCATAGTTAAATAATTTTGAGAGTAATCTAGACGGTATGTAATATTATATTATGTACTCTAAATATTGTGTTTGAGGACATAA